TGGATTAAAGACCAAGCCATCACTGCGAAAGTGATCCGACAGCAGGCCCCAAGGTCTTTTGTTTTGAAAACCTCACATGGAAATATTCAACGCAACAGACGGGTGTTGGTGCGACTCCACCACCCTGAAAAAGAAAAAGAACAAACAGTTGATTTGTCAGACTTGTGTGAGGATGATCATGTACCTGACTGTCAAGCAGCAACAGTTCCTCAACCAGCTCCAATTCAGCAGCCTGCAATACCTACTCGACTGGGAACTTAGGGTGTATTCACACCTGCCTTGTTTGGTTCGATTGAATCGAACTCTAGTTCGTTTCCCCCTTTGGTGCGGACCTTTTGGGCAGGTGTGAATACAGCAATCGAACTCGGGTGCAGACCAAACAACCGAACCGAGACCCAGCTGAATTGGTGGTCTCGGTACGGTTCCAAACGAACTCTGGTACGGTTCGTTTACGGTGTGAACATGAACCGACCCCATTGCAAGAAAGCACTGCGCCTTTGAGTTAACAGGCTTCCGTAGTCGGAGATTTTGGCATAATGGTTTGTGTTATTGTTGTTCAAGTGCGAAAGAGAATTCCATTCCGGCGCGCTGTCTGGCCACACGATACTGTAGCGCGTCTTTCTGCGCGTCGTGTGTGCATCATTGGAATGGAATGAATGAATGAGTGTGTGCATCAGGACATTCACACACAGAGCGTTCTCTTTAGTCTAATCGCGCATAGATGCAAAAAAAGCTTTTGCAGTTCATATAATGTAACGATAGTTACAACTTACAATACAAGGATGATGCTGCGTTAAACTGGACAAACTTAATCGCAAGCATTAACATTGACAGCACTTGTTAGCAGTAGCCTATATACAATAAAAATCTCATTATTTGAATGTGTGAACATAGCCCCTCTCTATGAATGAAAACTTTATACCTTATCCGTCTTCTGCGCAGTTTCTTCATATTGCGTTTGTACAGAATAACACAAAATTAGTAAAAGAACAAATATTGCAGTACGAAATATCTCCATGCTGAGCCTTTTTTGCACTTCCTGATTTCCCTACTTGAGAATCCTTGTCCAATGAATGGACGACCTTAGCACACGTGTGGTTTTGTTTACAAATTTTGGTTCACTTGCAAAAAGAGCAGTGTGAAAGCGAACCGTACCAAAAAAATAAAATAAAAAAAATAATTATTTGGTCCGGACCAAAGCAAGTGAACTATCGGACTCTCCTGGTGTGAATACACCCTTACACAAGGTCGGGACGTTTGTCTGTTTCACCAAGACGAATGAACCTTTTGTTCATGGCCGGTGACCACAGAGGCAGAATAATCCTCTCACTGTGCCAGGAGTGCTCAGGTAGTCCACCCTGACCTCCTTAGAAAAAAAAAGAGGGGTGAACACAATGTTATTGTGAAAAACAATACATATTGTAATAAAATTGAGGAAAAGTATTGTAAAGGGAAAGAAAGCAAGACAAAATGTCATGATAAAGGATGTTTATTAAAGAAATAATTTTCTTCTATGTTATAGATATATGGCATAGTATTGGTTAAAATGGTTAGAGTATGTTTATTATGCCAGAACAGTAACATTCTGGGCTTCACCAAGTTCATTGTTTGGGGAAGGGGAGATATAGTGATATCAGATGGATGAGATCGCTACTGAGTGAGCCAAGCCCCAAGCAGGGGGGTTTGTACTCTGCGAGTGTTCAATAAAGTTCAGTTATGTACCTGCTAGGCTGTGTGATCGCTGTCTCGGCTCATTCACAAACACAACAATTGTCTGATAGCAACAAGTGAGGCAACAAGTCACTGTCTAAATTTTTGGAGAAAATGTAAAGTCCAGGCCTGGTCCTCTCTCTGTCAGGGTTCTGTCACTTCTGTCTAGTCTATTTCTTGGTTTTGTGACAGAACCCTGACACTCCTGTTTTGTGTGCCTTGTTTTATGTGTTTTTATGTCATGTTTTGTGCTGTGTTGCATGCAGCTAATACAATGCTAAATCATATGTACACCTATGTACAATAACATACCGATGTCCAGCAATCGATTTAAATAGTACATTGTGTTTAATTTGTCGTTTAATGAGATCTAATATGTGTTGGTGGCGAATGGTCCAGTGGCAGAACTTTTGCCACGCGTGTCAGAGGTTCTGGGTTCTAATCCGCACTCGTATATATATTTTTTGTTTTCTCATTAAAACCGATTATGTTTATCAGTGGTTGTACTGTATATCAAGAAGGGACACGTTTGTGTGCACTTTACTTTGTGATTTCACCGGAACGAATAGAGTCTCCGCAACGGGTTAAAGCGCGCGTCCTTGTGAAGACTGTGCGCTAACTGGAGATGTTTTATTTATTTGTATTAGTTACATCTGTGCCGCGAGATGTTTCAAAAGTGGTGGGGACATGTCGCACCCGCAAATTACACCCATGGTCGTCGCTCCTCCTTTTCTGGTTCTGCTCGTCCGTGAGATACGGGACCGGTGCGCGCGCAGGTGTCGCTCATCATCAGTCCCGCCACCGGCCTCACGTCATTCCCTCACGGCCCTAGGCCTCGTCCTGCTCGCCACACACCATTTAAAGGTTTCATTTTTTTTAAATGGTCATTTTTTTACATTTTTATTGACATTTATTATGTCATTAAAGAATAATTATGTCATTATAAATTATTATAACATTATTGTTACTTCCTTATGTGTCATTTAAATGTGAGAAGGCTACAAATCAGTTAATTTGAACCTTTAATATTTTAATATTTAGCAACTGTCTTTGTATAGTTTAGAAACCCCAGAGAGAGTCAAGTGATCAAAAAAACAGGACTACATTTTTTTAGATGAATAATGAGAATGATATAGAGCACAGTAAAAAAAGAATAATAGCATTGTTAGTTCATGTTAGTAAATACATTAACTAATGTTAACTGATTAACCTTATTGTAAAGTGTTAACAATCATTCTAATATGATGATTTGGTGCTCAGTTATTATTTAAGCTTGAAATAGAAAACTTTTGTAAGATTATGCATGTCTTTACTCTCACATGCGATTATTAATGACTCCTTACTGATTAAAAGTATTTTAAAGGTGCATTGCGCAACATTTCATGTTAAAAATACCTGTTTTTCTAACCCATACATGCTTAAACAATTGCCTGATGGGCTGAATGAGCCCTTCTCTGATCACTGCCATTGCCTCTATAATCCTGTACAGTAAAATAAATAAGATCGATTCGGGTCGGAACGTGAGACTGGGCGTGACGTCATGCACGGCGTTCACGCTCCCCTGGCTATGTCTGGCAGGTTTGTGTATTCGCCGCCATTCTCCGTATTAGCGAAGACAACTCGAGCGACAAAACTTCAGTCAACTTTCGACAAAAGTAGAAGATGGATTCAAAGAGACCGGCTTGTAGTTCATAAACCCCAACGCAAACTCCACGCAAGACAAAGACAGTAAGGCAGTTTCGCTTGTCGCCAGAGGGGGGCGTAGTTCTGCAAAAACTCAGAGAGGTGCTCCTTTAAAAAATAAATCCAAACTTTTGAATGTAGCATCACGATTTCCACATGGAAACCTGTATAGATATATTTTTTTGGCATACAAGTGACATTGAAGACTGGAGTAATGATGCTGAACATTCAGCTTTCATCACAGGAATAAATAAATTACAGTTTACAATAAATTACAATAGAAAACCACCATTTCATAATGTACGAATACTGTTTTTGCTGCTTTTTGAATAACTAAATGCAGCCTCCTGAACATAAAAATCTTTTTCTTTCCAGATAGTGTATGTACAGTAGTTCCCATCGCTATTATCAGTCACTCACTGGTCATTTTGTCATTATGACTGCAGCACTCATGTAGAATACAATTATGTCTATAAAACTAAAGTGTCTGTAGAGTTCTTCCATGTGATTAAATGTTTTAATGTAAAAATGAAACCTTTTAAAGTAGAAAGTATCACTTAAGTCTTAGAGCATCTTAAACAAAACGGGTTTGTCTGATTGGCTCAAATCAACATGACAGTAGAAGAAGCGCGCGCCTGTGAGCAGATCGTGCACTTCCGGGTGTCACGCGCCAGCGGAGCAACGGCCATTGATGAATGAGCTCAGACTCTGCAGATATTATTATAGACTGCGAGAGGAAAGCGGGAGTAACGGTAACTGTATATGATTTAGTTAGCATTCTGCTAATGATCAGGCAGTAGTTATGACAGCTCTGGTAAAGCCAGTGAGCGCTAGCCTGATCTGATTCTCGTGTTTTCTCCGCTAAAATATCTGTTTATGGCGCCAGTGTGCTGAATATAGAGTCGTAATATAGAACGTGTCAAATACTGAACCGTGCTATCTGATATCGGAAAGATTATTTTCACCATAAATAAAATCGCCCATAAACACGAGAGAGCGCTGTACACACAATACTGAGTTTAGAAATAAGGTTTCGGTTTATTCCATCATTTAAAATGCATTCAGTCATTGTATTTGTTCTATAAATGTAATATATCTTTGTTATTATTAATTCCAACTATACATAGGTAACGCTGACAATATTGGAAATCAAGAGAGAAACATAAACAGTTACAGTGATAGTAGATGATTTTTTTATAGGATATTTTTGTATATCTTAGATGAATCATAAAAAACGTGAGAAGAGTTTAATCATTCATAAAAAAAACTAACAATACTGAATATGGAACTTCATGTTATAATAGAAACACTGAAAGTATACAGTGGCATCCATGATTTGAACAGCTTTCTAAAGGTTTTCACAGAAACACGATCAGAGAAAAGGTTCAGTGTTATTTCACACAATTAGCTGTGAGTTTATGGTTCATATCCTCTCACATCACACACCTTTTAATATTCATGAGTGACATGATGTGACCACCGTATGATGAATTCAGCGCTGAATACTAATAATGACTTTCTGCTCCAACAGTTTCCAGGTGTAAAAGAACGAGTGACACTATTGTAAAGATGGACTTTATTAAAGAGGAGAGTGGAGACACGAGTGATGCAGAAACATGCAGACAGAAAGATGAAGAAACTGAGCAACAGAGAGGTGATCATTCACTCTTCATTATGAGTGATTAAAATCACAGGAGCATTTTTCTTTCAATTTCTAATAATCACATTTGTTTCACTCTCTATAGTGAGTGTTTGTGTTTAAAATACAATGTTGTTTAGCATCTCGTGTCGCTCTTTCAGAATTAGCTCTTTGCATCTTGTTGCGTTCTGATGCTTAAACAAATGGCATATCTTTATTTAAACCAGATGATCCTTATAAAATGAGCCCAGAAATTATCTATAGCATCACTCACTAGATTTTTTTTTGTTAGGCATTATTGTACATAATGCACACAAGAAGTGTACTTTGTTAATTTTTGTGCCAATTTGGAAACCTTAATAAAGAGATTGTTAAAAAGTAAATAAAATCCAATTCAAAATATTAACAAAAACTGTCAAATTAGGGGTGTGACTATACACTTAGCTCATGAGATGAGGCAATAGTTAACACTGTGTTCAAACACCTTATAAAAGTCAATTTTGCATAATAGGTCCCCTGTAACTCATTTAGGGCTGTCACTAATGATTGATTTGTTAACGGTAATTGTTTTTATTATTTTGACAATCATGTAGTTTTAACTTGGATAGTATTTTGTGGTAATAAAAATGGACAAAAATGAACAATTGCCTTCAAAATGACTTAAAATACATATATAATAACAACAAGGCAATAATAATTGGTTCAAATAAAGTGTAAAAAGCAAGTAATCATATGGATTTATTGAACAACACTGTTAAAATACATATTGTAATATACATAATATAAACAATCATCTTATGTCCATTATGTATTATAACAAATGCCTGCAGAGGGCGCCAACGGTCTGATGATTGTTGTTATCGACCAAACAATATTTAATGTACACCTAATCTTTAATATTTGGCGTCTTCTGTACGATAGAAATGCATCAGCCGCTGTAATTTCTTGAACATTAACATGTGGAAATCAAAACATGCAAACTCAGAGCGAGGGTTTAAACTTTTATTTTGAAATCAGGATGTTTGCATATTTAGAAAGATATTGATGTATTCTCCTGTGTTGGTGTAGGTTTATAAATGATTTATGTTACAAATCTGGTGAAATGGCACACGTTACATAGCCTGGTAATACCAGACTCTGCTACTTCACTTTGCTTCGTACACAGAGTCTGGGATAGCATAATAGAGAAGTGTTTTCTCTCTCGCTAGGGGGCGCGTACTGAAGTTTAAAATCATTGGTTACCCGTAAGCCAATCAGATAAGTTTGTTTATGACGTATGTTTTGCGCCGACACAGCCGCATCGAACCACAGACATCATGCATCGAACTCAAATCTATGATTGAACTTCCACTGTAAACACTTGATGATGCGAGCGAAATACCCAAATGAAAATGGCTGTAAACGACTTTTTTGATCTGTGAGTGATGTAATAGAATGACTGCTGCGCTTGACAGGGCACAAACGAGCAGAGAGAGAGAGAGAGAGAGAGAGAGAGAGAGAGAGAGAGAGAGAGCGAGAGCGAGCCCCGGCCGCGCGCGCGCACTCCCACGTCTACAAACAACACGAGCGCTGTCTTGCTCTCTCTCCCTCGCGCATATTCATAAAAATCAATCGACAAGATAGTAAGAGGTCGGAAGACCGCGGTTTCACGTGGAGCATTTGGAGATTTTTAGAGATTATAGACTCTAGGAACAACATCTCAATGAACAACATCTCAACTATAAAGGCCTGTCTCATATAAGTTAGACGCCTATCTCAAGTACAAGCCGGTGCAGTTCGACGATTTGGGCAAATAAAAGCCCGGGCTATTATTTGAAGTTTCACGGTATTTAAGACCTGGAAAAGAAAAGAGACACTGACCTGTCAAAAGGCTCCCCAGTTTCTCGCTGACGATCGGTAATAGTTGATAAATTAAACTTTTCCCAAAGGGAGTAGGGCCACAACATCACCTCCATTCAAAATGTTTAATACACACTCTTCGTGTTCGGGCTTCAGTTTGCTAATGCCGGGAATATTCTCCACAACAGAGCGAATTGCATCCGCGTCTCCATATCAGCGGTCGTTTTCGATTTCCCTGACCTAATCTTAAACACGGTGCTTACCGACTACGTCACGGCTTTCAGCCCGCCCTCTGTTCGTTGATTGGCCAGGCTGTTTTCAGGCCGGTGGAAAACAGAAAGATAGGCTGCTATCTCAGACTGACTACAGGAGCGAAATGAAATTAGCGGAAGTAGGAAGTCTGACGTAGTCAGGCTACACGTTACATTCCCAGATTTTAATTTTCTCGAACACTGGTATCTGCCTGTTAACTACTCAAAACACCTCATCAACCCTCTAGCAACCACACAAGACACCCTAGCAACTCCTAATGCCATAGCAATCATTCATTCTCTACATATGCTGTGAGTTTGTGTGGCTTGCGTTAATCTGTAGGGCCCTATGAAATCCGTTTTATTTTTTCCCAAATTCCATTAGATTTTTTTCCCAAATTCCGTTTTTTCCATTTTTAATTTTTGGGAATTCATTTTTTTTTTTACCCTTTACTGTTATTTAAGTCGTAAAAAGAGTGTGCTTTTAAAGTTAATGATTAAAATGTACACCAATAAAATAGGAATGACCTTAATTTATTGAGGTAACAGACATTTACTCAGTACTTTTAAGGACAAATACTGCATGATGCAACATAACACTGCAATCTTCAAGTAACAACAAAATATGGTTATGAGCTTTAAACTGTCCAGTAAAATAAATTATATTAGTTTATATAAGTTTAAATAAAAGTCACACTGTCTCTCTCTCGACCAGTGTCGCTTGCGGAGTTCGCTTCGCTTTTGTCCAGTCCAGCGCCTCATAGACAGACGCGGTGTGCATGGAGGGAAGGGGCTGTGTGTGTGTGTGTGTGTGTATATGTGAGAGAGACGCGTGAAGTGACAGAGACGGAGGGAGAGCAGGGAAAGGAAATGCAACTGAAAGAATATGCTGCGTGTTTCATATAGCGTTAAAAAAAATGAACGAAACGCAATACGTGGCGGCCGGTGTTGATTCTGTGGCGCACCGCCGAAAATTAGTCTATGTGTGGGAAACACTGCATAAAAGTCATGTGCGAACTGCTCAGCTCGGTACTGAGGGCTTAGCGTCGAGTTTCTTACCTTTTTTCGCCGACGAAAGCAGAGCCCCTGGAGAGCCCCATGCTTTCATTGTTTTGATGCCATCATTGGAGCTGAAATTTAAAAAACTGAATTTCATTCCAAATATGTAAAATTCCAAGTTAAGTTCCTAGTTAACACTTGATTCCACGTTAATTTGCCAATTCCACGATTCCGTGATCGCGGAAATTATAGGGCCCTAGTGGTGGAGGGATGCTGCAAAACTGTCAATGGATTGAGGTGAGACTGCTGAATCTATATACACCTCTTATCATTGATTGCTGAGTGCTCTCCACCCGTGTTAATTATCTGAACGTGCTCTTCCCGAACTTTGTTAATAAACCCCCTCCCCCCCAAAGGAGCGCCGAGTTTGGCGGGATGGCATCTCGAGAAGGGGCCTGGATGCTTGACCAGGAGGGTACGTGATGGCGGCTCACTGCGCCTGACTGACGGGCCCTGTTGGCCCGCGAAGGCGGAGCAGTTGTAATTTGGAACAACCAACCGGGAGAGTTTGCACCTTTCTTGATGGGAGCAGTTCATGGCAGATCGCGGACCCGCCTACCCGAAAGTCCCCGCCTACGGGAAAGTTCTCGCTGCGTCCGCTGTGAGACCAATGCTCGCTGGGCAGAAAGAGAAAACGGGAAAGAGGAAGATGATTACTCGTCCGGGAGAACGCAGTGAGACCAAATGCTCGCTGGACAGACGAGAAAACTTAAGTGCTCTATCGGGAAAGTTCTTGCTGCGTCCACTGTGAGACCAAATGCTCGCTGGACAGAAGAGAAAAACAGAAAAGGAAAATGATTACTCGACCGGGTGATTTTTTCATTGCGTCCGCTGTGAGACCAAATGCTCGCTGGACAGAAGAAAAAAACAGAAAAGAGGAAAATGATTACTCGACCGGGAGATTTTCTCATTGCGTCCGCTGTGAGACCAAATGCTCGCTGGACGAAAGAGAAAACATAAGTGCTCTACCGGGAAAGTTCTCACTGCGTCCGCTGTGAGACCAAATGCTCGCTGGACGGAAGAGAAAACGTAAATGCTCTACCGGGAAAGTTCTCGCTGAGTCCGCTGTGAGACCAAATGCTCGCTGGACAAAAAGAGGAAACAGGAAAGAGGAACATGATTACTCGACCGGGAGACTTTCTCACTGCGTCCGCTGTGGGACCAAATGCTCGCTGGACGAAAGAGAAAACATAGGTGCTCTACCGAGAAAGTTCTCACTGCGTCTGCTGTGAGACCAAGTGCTCACTGGACAGAAGAGAAAACAGGAAAGAGGAAAATGATTACTCGACCGGGAGATTTTCTCACTGCGTCCGTTCTGAGACCAAATGCTCGCTGGACGATAGAGAAAACATAAGTGCTCTACCGGGAAAGTTCTCGCTGCGTCCTCTGTGAGACCAAATGCTCGCTGAACAAAAAAAGGAAACAGGAGAGAGGAACATGATTACTCTACTGGGAGATTCTCATTGCGTCCACTGTGAGACCAAATGCTTGCATGGCAAAAGAGAAAACGTAAATGCTCTACCGGGAAAGTTCTCGCTGCGTCCGCTGTGAGACCAAATGCTCGCTGGACGAAAGAGAAAACATAAGTGCTCTACCAGGAAAGTTCTCACTGCGTCCTCTGTGAGACCAAATGCTCGCTGAACAAAAAAAGGAAACAGGAAAGAGGAACATGATTACTCGACCGGGAGATTCTCATTGCGTCCACTGTGAGACCAAATGCTTGCATGGCGAAAGAGAAAACATAGGTGCTCTACCAGGAAAGTTCTCGCTGCGTCTGCTGTGAGACCAAATGCTCGCTGGACAAAAAGAGAAAACAGAAAAAGAGGACCATGATTACTCGACCGGGAAATTCTCACTGCGTCCTCT